AGTTATTCTTGCCTTAACAGGACCAACGATACAAAAATAACACCAGATACTGCTGAAACCTACCGAATAATAGTGAAGAAACGAATGCGAATTTTCGTACGTACCAGCTTAGGCAGGAGAGATCGTTACGAGTAGTAATAAGAAATTAACACTCCTCAACCCCAAAGGTTTCAAAATACGTCAGGTAACCAATGTTCTGAAGGAGAATAAGGAGCAGCCGGGAGTAAAAAATAAAGCTCCACTACCTTTATTTTTCGTGGACCTAGAGCCATAACCTGGTATTGAAAAGATATACGAAATCAAGAGATTTTACTACACTATAGTGAAGATAGAGAAGCCATACCCCAAGAGAGAAATCGTGCAGTGCCACAATTACCAGGCTTATGGACACACGAAATGTGTAAAATGTGGTTAACAACACAAATCAGCAGAGTGCACAAAACCTATACAAGATCCTGCTGCATAGTTTGTGCCCTATGCCTAGAGGGACATCCGGGTAACTACAAAGGCTGCCAAACTTATAAGAACCTCAAATACAAATACCAGAAGAACCAGATTCAAGATGAGACAATCAGAGCAAGAAGAGAACATTCTAGAATTGTTAATAATAATTTATCATACTCCGAACTACTTGGAGGTTACAACCTAAACAATGCATGTGAAGCCCTGCCGCAGGAACGACCTCAGCCCCAACCTCAGTATTCTGTCCATCCTACCACACACAAACACCAACAACCTCAAATTACTTCTCCTTTAAATGCAACAGATCTCACCAGTTTGTTTTTTCATCTTTTCTCACCGATTTCAAATCCCTGGTTACTCCACTCATATCGTTCCTCAGTAATCTCGTATCTCACCTCATCCCTCCTTTAAAAAATCCTTAATGACTCACATCCATTCTCCTTTGGAATGCGAATGGTGTTAGAAATCACGTTGGCGAACTAACAACTTCACTGCAAGACAAGAACATTGACGTAGCCCTAATTACAGAAACTCAATTGTCCATAAAACATCATTTAAAAATCCTGCAGTACATAACATACCGTACTGACCATCCTGATGGTAGAGTACATGCCGGTACTGCTGTCATCGTACACAATTCCCTCTCCCATCACTTACTCCAATTACCTACTCAAGATTTCCTACACAGTCAACCGCTATTGTAATCAAAACCTTTTCCTTTCTAGTCACCCTTGCATCAGCATATTGCCCTCCTGACAGATCCATATCCAAAGTCCAGTTCAGTTCTATCCTCAACTTCTTATGTCATCATTTCATCCTGGGTGCAGACTTAAATGCCAAGCATCAACTATGGGGTTCAAGAACCATGAATTCTCGTGGCAGAATATTTCTGTCTGCACTCAATCCCCAACGTTTCAGTCTCCTTCTCCCCAACTCACTAACCTACTGGCCCACTGATCCTAACCGCAATCTTGATATCCTTGATTTCTTCATCCACAGTGGTTTGGGTCCCCTCAATCATTCCCTTGCCCGTCTTGACGAACCTTCTTCAGATCATAGTCCATTAATACTTCAATTATCAATTGCTCCTAAACCCCCTTCACCGTCCTTCATCAGAGGCCCAGTTAACTGGAAACTGTTTCATCAAATCCTTTCAGATAAAATTTGTTAATAATGGTTAGGGTTTCTTTACGAAACAAACACAGACAATAAAGGAACGTTTATTGTGGAAGAACACCACAATCATAGAAGCCATATCGAGCTAGTATATATTGTTGCGATCACTGACGTCACATCTGACAGTGTTGCCAATAACAGTGTTGTAGGTAGAATATTCAATAACAAATAACATCAATTAATTAATCCTAACACACCCCCTCGATTGAAGCTTTACATAATTGAGAAATTTATACATCTATAGATTCAATCGCAAACATTAATTAATTATTTTTTATATTTAACAGTATATTCCTAAATTTAACATATTTTTCTTTGCATAATGCCTTTGTCAATATATCGGCAACATTATCATTTGTGTTAACATATTCAATATTTATAATAATTTAATTGACTAATTCTTTTATAAAATTTCCTTTAGTCGATTCACCCTGAGATTCCTTACATTCAGAACTCGAAATTTGCCATTAACGTCTAAATCCTAACATCCTATTTACAAAACTATATTTACACTTAATTATATACAATTTATTTACAATTATCCAGAATGAGTAACCTAACGATGGTTTTTCCATGACCCATTAGCTCGTCAAGGGAAGGGGCGTTAAATTAAAAACCCCTTTTTTGCCCTCTGGAATGGGACAAAGACTACCGTATCTTAAAATGAGATATTAAACTGCCTGTCCTAGCATGGTTCATAGCCATATAACCCTTATATACATTATCTTTTAAAATAGGAATGGTGATTGGCTCTGTTTCTCTATTCCTATAATAAACAAACTTACTAATTCTAGGTAATGATATTTTATGAGTCAATAGTTTTTTGTTCCACCCTTCTATTTTGGCTAGTTCACCTTCTACTTTTGGAGACGTCCGTTCTGATATCTTGGGGTTCGACTGAAGTTGTGGGACCTATATATTCTTCTTTATTGACTAAGAGCTCATGGGTTTCCTTATCAACCTGGAAAAATAATTCTTTGATGATTATGGAACCTAATACATAATATTTTAATGTTTCTTCTTGGCCTTTTCTAATTACTGTCTCTTTTCCACCAATTTCTTTAATATTTCCTCTGAGATTTTCAGATTTATCATTTAATTTAACGTTTTCTTGCTCCTCGAAGAAACAGTAACAGTGTTGTAGGTAGAATATACAATAACCAATAACATAGATTAATTAATCCTAACAAAATTGACCTCAGATTAACCTTAAAAACGCCAGAAGACCTTGACAATGCCGTACATTCCTTTACCACCACCATAGAACAAGCAGTACGGACAGCTTCCTCTCTAAATTATTCCTCAAGAACACCAAAGAAAAATAGTTTACCCCAACACCACGTAGACCTAATCCACACCAAACGCCGTGCCAGATCATTATGGCAACGTACCAAACACCCCATCGATCGCCGCTCCTACAATTATTATTGTAAACTACTAAAGCAAGAATAATCTTCATTCAGATCCCAATCCTTTGATACCTACCTTACTTCTCTCTCTGTTCACGATAATTCCCTCTGGAAAACCACCAAAAAAATTCTAAAATCCCATTACATTTCCCACCCCCTCCGTCGATGCGATGACTCCTGGGCAGCGTCTGATGAAGACAAAGCTGAGGAATCCTCCAGACAAATTCACTCCTCATCCAGAATCCCATCTCACCCATACCGCAAAAGTGGAAGAATTCCTCTCTTCATCGATTCCACTCTCCTTACCACCTAAAGCAGTTAATCCATTTGAGGTCAAACATCACTTACAAAAACTTCCTCTCCGTAAATCTCCTGGTTACTACTTCCTAATTCCACAGATCGTTCTACAAATTCCACCCAAATCTATCATATATTCCTTACATATACTTATAATTGCATCTTAAGAACTACCTACTTTCCTCTCCTATAGAAACATTCCACCATCGTTATTTTCCTGAAACCAGGCAAACCTGCCAACAATACATCATCCTATAGACCAATTAGCCTACTCCCAATCCTATAATTTTTTTTTAAAAGATCCTACTGAAAAGAATCCTACTTATAATAGAATCCCATAAAATTCCTACCTATTAATTCGGATTTCGTTCCCAACATTCCACCATCCAACAAGGACTCCGAGTTGTCGACCATATATAATCAGACCTAGAAAAGAAGCAATATTGTTCGGGTCTATTTCTGGACATAGCACAGGCTTTTGACCGGGTATGGCAAGCTGGACTGTTCTCCAAGCTTAAATTCCATCTACCACAGTCCTTCTATCTAATAGTCCGATCCTACCTCTCTGACCGCTTCTTTTAAGTTCGCTATGGTACTGAATTCTCTGACTGTCATTTAATTGAGGCGGGAGTTCCGCAGGGCAGCGCCTTGGATTCTATCCTTTAAATTCTTTTCACCGCAAATATTCCTGCCCATCCTGATACTCTCCTGGCAACATTCGATGATGATACCGCTATCCTTTTAACCAACTCAGATCCTAAATCAGCGTCATTAAACCTAAAAGTACACCTCTCCCTGATTGAACACTGCTGCAAGAAATGGCTCATCAAAGTCAATGAATCCCAATGTAAACATATAACCTTCTCCCTTCGTCGTAATTCCTGTCCACCAGTTTACTTTAATTCCATCCAGCTTCCCTTCTCCGACACAGTCCGGTACCTTGGTTTTCTCCTAGACAGACGACTAACTTGGATTCCGCATACTAGACTGAAAAGACAGGAACTTAACCGACATTATGGCCAGCTATGTAGACTATTTAATAGGAAATCTAAACTTTCTATTGAAAACAAACTACTGATCTACAAGACAATACTAAAACCTATTCGGACTTACGGACTAGAATTGTGGGGAACAGCAAAATTTTCTAACATCAAGCGCATCCAATCCTTCCTGTCAAAAGTCCTTCGAACAATAGTCGATGGTCCTTTCTTGGTAACCAACAAAACCCTACATCATGACCTCAACATCCCATTCGCCCTAGACCTTATTATTATGTATATCAAACCCTGATTGTGAAATACGTTATTTGAAATACTGCCCAAGTATGGTCTATTGCACTAACCGAATAAAAGAATAATATTTAATTTTTAAAATACTCAGGTCTAGTACCATAACTTAAGAAAGGTATGTCCTCTGGTATTCCTCTCCCAATGGAACATTATATACAGTACAGTATATTTAAACACTATAACTATAAGTTTGGTTACTTTTTTTACTCGACAGATGTGTTATTATATATGTAGATTGTTTTATTTTGTAAATATTGAAAAAAAAATAAATTTATAAAAAATATAAGATAGTTTCATACAATCTACACAATTTTTTTATGAATCCTAATCTAATTAAAATAATTTTTAATCTTTTTTTATTTTACAGGATCGGAACATTCCATCGCAAGTCAATCGATGAGGGTCCTAGCATTGTGTTTACCTACACTCCATTTTCTGCTACCAACAACAAGTATTTTTGCTTTGACCCATTACTCCACCAGATAATGGTCCCGAGGATTGTACCACAAAAATTACTTCACAAATATCCTCAAGTTGATGGTATGTTATACAATTGAACAAAGCAACTGATATACATGTTATTAGAAAATACTTTTCAGAATTATTTAAATAATAAAATATTCTCAATATCTTGTTTGTGTATGACTTGTTACAATATTTTCATAGCATGGGCCTCATTAGGAAATTTTGAAATGGCAAAATACATTATTGAAAGATTGCTTCTTCAGGATAAAAAGATAATCTTTTAATATATGCACCGAATCTGTGTGGTCTCTGGTATCATGAAAGCCAGGTAAACTCTGTCAGGAAGGTTCATCTTTGGATCAGCCAATAACCAGTTGCCACTCCTTAGAGCTATGAAAGGGATAAGGATGGCAAATCATGATTTATTGTTGGAATCCTTAAAGATGAATACTGTTAAGAAGCATAGAAGCTGATTGCTGATTGTCCTTAGCTAGCTTACATACTAGCTAAGAAGCGATGCTATTGCAGAGTTTCTTATTATTAATGGCCACGATCAAACAATGCCATAGAATGGCAGACTGTCCAGAAATCTATTTATGTACTTTGGCAGCAACTATGGAAGTAACCCATTAAAAATATGCTTACATTTAATGGACTTAAAAAATATAATACCCTCTAAATCGGAATGGTACTGGACTGTAGATCTCTAATGGTAGAAGCTGAAAACCCCAAGAATGCATTATATAGCCTTAAATTAATATTAACCAAGGAGGAGGCATGTATCATTATCCTCTCAAAAATATGGTAAAGATGAAGTAATTACTGACTGAACTTCCGATTCCATTTCGATTGCTTCAAATCTTCTTAGACCAAGGGTGGGCATTTTTTTTAGCTTGGTGACACATCTGTTAAAATGATTCCATTCCATTAGCTAACTTTATATTACAGTGTTTTTTCTTTTCATCTCTTCTCTCAAAACCTGCGTCCACCATCTAGTCTTTTTCCTCCTGGCACTGCTGAACTTCACCTTCCCACAAACTGCTGCACTCAGGATCACTGCCTTAAAGTTCGTCCATGCTTCTTTTAACTCATCAGTATATTGGCCAGAGCCCAGGCTTTGTGTTTTCTCTTTTATATTCTTGTTTGTTCTGTTACCTTAACTTCGTTTTTGTCGTTTGGACACGCTCATGTTTACTGCAAGAAGGCAGTGGTCACTTCCGATTTCTGAGCATCTCCTTCCCTGGAGATTAATTTTCTTTCCACTATTATATAGTCAATAATAGACTTTTCACCTCTAGATGGTTCCTCCCAGGTATATTTATGTATTTCTTTGTGAGGAAACTTTGTGTTGAACAGAACAAGATCATTTGCGACGCATAATTATAACAGTCTCTTTCTATTGTTGTTCCTAATTTCTTCTCCATATGGGGCGAGCACTCTTTCAAAACTAACCCATTCTTCCATTCAAGTCTCCCAGCAGTATTAGATTTCCCTCTTCATCGTGCATTGCTTTCTGCAGCGTTTCAAAGAACATATCTTTCACCTCTGTTAATTGATCTTCATTAGCTCCGTATGCCGCTATTAATGTCCAATTTTCCTTGGTTTGCTGATCTCTTAGCTTCGAAATCAATACCCTCTCATTAATGCTCCTCCAGCCCACAATATTTCCTGTGAAGTCCCTATGAATAAGAAATGTCATTCTTGCTTTATCTCTCTCGTTGGTTGATACTCCAGATTAAATTACCACATGCCCATTACCAACATCTATGCAGCCTGATCCTTCTTCGTAGTTTCAGTGATCGCCATTATCCGATGAGGTCTTCTCCATTTCTTCCACCAGCTCCATCTCCTTCTTAGCCTTACGTTCCCTGTTGCATATTATGTCGTTCGATGTTCTCGCCAAGTTATAGCCATGGAAGACAATCCGGCTTTCTTTCTTGTATTTCTTTTAATAATTTTTATTCTGGGATGTGAGAGATTGACCCACATTCGCCTATTGCAGTGGAGGGACTACCTCCTTAAGCCACCTACAACTAACTTGTAGCTTCAGAGTTCTTAACAGGATATTTAACTCCTACTTCCTGAGATTATCAGATGATATGACTCATTTAGGTTACCACATTGACAGATCGTTTAGCCAGTATAATACTGTTACCAGAGGGCATCACGCGGAGGAGAGCTGTCTTGACCCCATCTATGTCAGCTATATACATATAAAATAAAATCCAGCTGATTAAAAATCCAAAGATTAGTTTTATTGTGAATTTGTTTAATTTCAATTAAATCCTTGAGCAGTATATTTGGTAGTTGATTTGATGGTATTGTCAATAACAAATAATCGTTCACTATCAATTATTTAATAATTTAAGACACGAGTGTTAATCATAAGCTTATTGGTAAAGATAAACTTTCACGATTAAATTACATCTGACTGTATGTTACAGAGGGTCCTGGAAGGTATTTACTTGTGAGCCCCAGTGGAATTTCACATGATGGGGAAGATTGTGATAAAGCAGGTGTTGGGTACTCGGCATTTGCAAGTCAGCCAGACAGATGCAACAAACCAGCAGGAAGCTGCCTGCTCAACCAACCTCTTGATTTTTGGCAGCATGATACTGTAAGTTGCTGTTTTTTTTCTTGTTTATTTTTTTGTATATAGCAGCATTAATTATGGTTCTTAATTAGATGATTTAAGTACATAATTATCAAAAATAACAATTTAAATAGTTGTGTAAGAAATTCCTATTGTATATTGAAATTTATCTTAATGATAGGGAATACTGACCGGAATTTCTTCATCAGTTTAATTTTCTCTAGATCATCCAATCTTAATAATTGTATTCTTACTAACTTAAATTTAATTTAAATTAACAGTATTCTTCAGTTTTGAAGTAATCTCATAATCAATATTCTGAAACTAATCAATCATATATTTAATCATAGATTAATCTTAAAAATATATATATAAATCTTGAACACAATTTTATCTATTTATATCATTAACAGGATGCTCTCGCACACAATAAATCAGGAAATTATTTCCTGGATAATTTCGCTGCCGTGGAAGACAGCTCGGTTAAGATTGCTGAAGGAAAGCAGTTTCTGACTGTTGGTTATTCAGGACACTACACGAGCGTCGTTGAAATTGAAATGCGTCTAGATGACAATATTGTTATCAGAAACGAGTAAGTACTCATTATTTTTTATTTATTATTTTTTTTTTATATCATCACATGATAGAAATAACACCAATAACGGGTGCAGATATGAATCATAACTTAACAGCTTTATCAAATCAATTCTGAGCCAATTATTAAATTTACTGGGAGGAGACATTATTAAAAAAATATCCCTTAAAAACTTTATTAATAGTAATATTTCAATTTTTTTGACCTTTCCATTAAGAGAGTCACAATTTAGTATTTCAAAATTAATAATTAAGGTGTCCTGGGATCAATTTAGAGCCTAAAATTTTATAATAGATTTTTGGAATGGTAGATAACTATTGCCATCTGTTGGAAAATAATAGCAGGAACGTGGTTCATATTTGCGCTAAAAATATGAAGTATTAACTATTATTAATCCTCAATTTTTTTTTTTATACTTTTGAACTTAATCCAATTTAATTCTGAATGTCTCATATATTTTACCCCAATTTTCAAAAGAAGATAACATATGTAGATTTATAAAGTAAAATATTATTTTATAGTTTTGGATAAATGTATATATTAGTCTGAATATGTATACAAACCTTTCTTTCAGTGCACAATTTCTATAACAATTAGTAATAAACTTTTTTTTCCTTTTGTTCTACATTATTAAGTTGTAAATTATGTAAAGAATACTTAAGGAAGTTAGCCTGACTGGTTATTAATTATAATAAAATTCTCGTTGATATTGATCTAATAGGCTGAAACTTTGGATATGAAAATAAAGAAAGTTAAGAAATAAGGATCAAATTAAAGTTTATTACTAATAAAAAAAAATCATTAAACGACTACAAAATTGAAATATATTCTGTAATTATTTCAGAAGCCCGGCATTAATACATGAGGTTCTCATTGATTCCACTTGTGAACACCAGACAAAAATTACTATAAAAGTTACAAATGCTGGTTATGTATCTACCGCCTACAGACCGAAAATAACCAACTGCCCAGTAAATGTACCAAATATTTGGTACGATAACGAAGGTCCCCTAGTGTACATAGCGCCCTTCAGGGTCCATGTCTTCAGGGTTACCTTATATGGGACGTCAAGACCGTCAAGGTTTCATTGCTCAGGTAATTAAATGATTTTTCTCAATTCTCTTCCAATTAGATATGCAGTATGTTTATAGCATATATTTAGGATAATGAATATGCAATGAAATGAATATTATAAGGAAGGACCTTTCTAGATAGAAAAACAGCTAATTATATTATTTGACAATTTTAATTTCTCCCAAAAAGAAGATAAATTATTTTATGGACAAGTTACATTATTTTAATTAAGATATATGGACACCACAGTCTTAAACAATTGTTAGAATATCTACGGATAAGATTAAAACATATTTTTTAAAATCCATTGGTACATTATGTATTAAAACGTATGTGAAGGGATCAGTAGACATCGAGGGTGGTGCTCTAGGCTCCATTCAGAGGGAGGCGCGAAATTCCCGAAGTTCAAATAATCTGGCCATTATTTTACCTATTGGTAAAATAGTAGATTCAGTTTTAAAATTCTGTGACAAATTGTAATATTTCTGAATAAAGTGTTTTAATAATAAAAAAAAAAAGTTTTAAAATTATATATGTATATACACGCCATACCATACAAAATAATATCCCAACATTTTCTGTTAAAACTCATGGTTTTTACATTTATTTCAACCAGAAATCGGATAGAATATCGATCTCCGCGCATTCCGAATGAGCGAAAGATGCTATTGCACAATTGCTGTAGCCATTGCAAGTTGTGAGCTATCTTTCAGCAAGTTAAAATTGATATTTTCGTATTTGAGGGCTACAATGGGCCAAGAAAGGTAATACGACCTAGCTTTGCTCAGTATAGAGCGAGAAGAAACATATAAAACTTATTTCAAAAACAAAGGCCTAAGGCCAGGGAGATACAATTGCAAGTGTAACGATTTTAAAAACTTACTTTTGTTATAAAATATAAAATAAATATGTTTTGTAAGGTTATGCCTTTTTGTAGTGTATCTATTTTCCATACTATGATAATTTACGATGAGGCGCAATTTTGATACCCTATGCGCCTTTTTCGATTGATACGCATCTGCAAGGTATGTATTGTTACATTTTCATTTAAAACCTGATTCGATGTAACATAGGCACATGCATTAGGCAAGGCACTTTTTTCCCACTCTGTATTTTTTGAAAGGAGCTGGCCCAATATTTCAGAGTCGTTTACTTAAAATAACTCCCAAAAAGTTAAATAAACCATAAGAGTAATAATTATATTACATTAATTATATATTACAGGTAGTAAACATTTTACTTAGCTACTCTATTTTACTTAGCTGTTTACTGGCGTTTTATCTCGTCTCCCCCCTCCCATACATTGAGCACTGTTAGCACGTTACACTAACTTTACCCCCTCCCTCTCCAATATTTTCCAAACAATAATAAAATGTCCTATGAGAGATAAAACCCTTCAAAAACAAAATGAGTTACTGTTATTGATTATAATATTAATCAGGCGGTATGAGCTTATTATGACCCTTGAACACAATCAAGATACCGGCTTATACATTTCTACTTCTTTATCACTAATACTTATCTTCTTAGTTGTGACAAAATGTAATATAACTGAATAAAAAAGATATGTCCATTAATTTGCAAACATAGTTAAAAAGGCATATGTTTTTGTGGCACTTCTCTATTTATAATTTGAAAAGCTGGTATTTTTATTTAAAAGGAAAGAAAATAATTTAGTATTTAATCAAAAAGATATTTACCAATTGTATTCATACTACAGATCTTATTTGTTTTACAGTCGAGATTATGAATAATCGAAGTGAAACCTTAGCGGTAAGGAGAATACGAATTCAGAAATATGACCGCTGTTTTTGCGTCTGGCATTGTCTTTGTAGTTGCGCCGCCTCTTCACAAAAGTTTGGCTGTCATCCAATGTCAATTGACCATTACCATGCCGCAGGTTTTGTGGGAAGCGTGCCCGAAACAGATGTCTTAGTAAGCAAACAGATATCGAAGACACATTATAGAGAAAACTTTGCTCGTGCTGTGGTTGTCGCCTTCTATATCTACATAATACTGATATTTTTCGGTACGTAACTGTTGAATAAGTTGATAAGTCAATATTAAAATGATTATTTTTAATTAATTTTTTTTCCAGGGTTGATCAAGGCAATTTATGGGAGCTTGTGTTATCGGCGGTTAGCTCTGATGCACTTGCACATGTTGTGCCCTCGCTTTTATCAATCAGCTAGGCTAATGCCTGCGGTATGTCCTTGTAGAAGGGAAGTAATAAGACCAAACAGCGCTCGTTCAGTTTCCTCTCATGGAAGTAAAGTAGCAGATCCACAAAGTAAAAGACCAGCAACTGTTCTGTAAGTATATTCTGATTTTCACTGTTTACGATTATAATAATACGAGTATAGCCATCTAGGTTTCATAGTTTTAAATTGTTTACTTGATTATTGAACATCATAATTTTAAAGAAACGTACAAACATGTATATGAATTCAACCAGGGATTGAATTTAACTATTATTTTTCTCTGCAAGTGAATAAAATTCATGATGTGACATTTACGTTTTCGGAGATTTAGTTTCTGAAATCAAGATAGATTTCAAGATTGTTCGATCCCGTATCGTTTTTCATCGATATAAGGTTCAATTCTAATGTTTTCACAGGCCTAGTATTTAAAAAAATAGTATCGATTTTAATATTGCGCATTACTACATCGATTTCTTTAAAATCTTGGATTTCTTCCATGTAAGGATCTATATTATTATGTTATTAGAGCCATAGATGTTGAAAATAATGTTGATATTAAAAGTGCGCCATTGCATATCGGTTTACATTAACTACCCAATTTATTCGATCTAAGGATCTAAGGTAGTTTTTAGAAATAATATAGATTTTAAGACTGCAATGTCGCTTACCGATTTGTTTCAACTTTTAGATTTTTTTTATACAAGGGTCCATTCTTATGTCTTTAGAGACATCGTTTCGGAAAATATAGATATTAAATATTGTGCCATCGCATGTCGCTTTGTTTCAACATCATTATTATAAAACAGTTATAATATAATAAATAACATTATTATATAAATTATTATTAACGAAATTTGAATATAGGAAAAAAAAACAGAAATATTAAAATAAATCAACACGGGATGTCGCAACCTTAAAATCGGCATTATTTTTAAATACTACGCTTCCGAAAATATAGTAATGGACTTTCATATCGAAGAAATTTCCATAACTAAAAGGAATCAGTACGTGATGGTGTAATCTTAAAATCAATATTATTTTCACACACTAGGCCTACTTTAACGTATAATGAATCCTTGTATTGAAGATGTCTGAAAGTTAAAAAAAATGTATACCCGATGCCACAATCTTTAGATCGATGTCTACCAATTCGCAATATGAAGTCTTATAGCCAGAAAAAAACAGTAATTAGCCTGGATTTACAGTGAATTTCGGGAAAATGTTCATGAGTACTCAAATCAGTGTATATATTCCTTCAATTTCAACTGTGGGATAGCTAACTTCAGCCATAAAAGAAATAAAAGAGACTTCTTGTAAGACAGTTTAGCCATCGTTGGTCAACAGATCTAAGATATTATCTCAGACTTACGATATTTTTTTTTCCATTTTTATAATTTATTCATTGTAACTTTTATTAATTATCCACTGGTTTCAGTTTGTTGTTTTCAATAAGAAACCTTTTTAATCTACTAAGAAAAGAAAAATTAATTAAGTATCCTCCTTTAAAACTTCAAAAGGTTTGATTTTTCTAGTTTGCCCTGCAACAGACCTTATGCCAGGATTAGTAATAGTTTGTGGTACAGACCCCTTTTTATAAAATTATTAACACCCACCTAAAACTTCAGTATAGCTTCATCAAACTGTAACCTACAACCTATTTTATTTACGAAATCCAGGCGTTTTCAATCTGAAGATCGGCAAACTGAATCTATTTAATTAGGTACTGAAAACTCATGAAAACCCACTACACTAGCTTTCCACTTGAATCGCAAGATAATTTGATCATAAAATCGATAATAAAGGCAGCCCAAAAAAAAAAGGGTCGTTAGGCGTGATTTCCATCCCCAACATGTCAAAATAACGAGGTTATATATGCCAAACGGCCCAATATTTTTATAGACCATCTTATTTTTTTCGATTTTGTAATAAAATCATCTTACTTTTTTTATTTATTTATTGAGTATTACAACAATCTGTCTCTTGGACAGAAATGAAATGGATTTGGAAAGAAAATGGGTATTTATGACATTTTAGTATCTCATTAAATTAATAATTTAAAGAGAAAATGTTCTATTTCTAAGAATTTTCGTAGATAAATTTTTTTTTTCATCTCTCTCGTCGACCCAAGACTTCCATTGTAGTCCTATATTGCAGATAAAAAAAATTGTGATTTACGATAAGGTGAAGCCATTCATAAAGTTTTAGGCGGGTGTGAATAATTTGATAAAAAGGAGTCTGTACCACGGACTATAGATAGTTTCACATCATTAAATTAATAAATATCAAGCAAGATAAATAAATAAAAATATGATTTGTTTTATGAACTTCACTTGAAAAAGTCATTATAAAATGAGTGTATGATTAGATAATGAGCCGAAATCTGCATTGTCAGGAATCAAACTTGATTTAATTGAAAAGTAGGATTTAAGTTTCTTCTAATCACTTGCTGTTACATAACGGACAGATATACAGGGTGCGCCAAGCAAACTTCGCTATTTCATGGCAAGTTATGAAAAAAAAGAAGCTTGTTCTATAAATGACACTTCAGTTGTGAAATGAGTTTTATAGGGGAAACAACTTATGCAATTAATGTTTTAATAACTTAATAGATTTCAGTATTTGGCCCAAGAGATTGCTCTACTTGGGAAGGACTTCACAGACCGGGAATTAATAAGATATATAATTGCAAGTTTTTCCCATTATTATGAACATGTTGCAAATCCTTTCTCAGCCAACAGGAATATTGAATTCAGTGAAATGAAACAAATGCTATAGTCACTTGAACGGAGATGTGTATGAAATAGAAGCGATCAAGTGTTTCAAACTCTCTTAAACGAACAACCTTAAACTCCGAAGTATGTTACATATGCAAGAAACCAGCATACTTAAAGAAGGAGAGCTGGTGTAATAAAGATCAAAATAATGAATCGGTTTCTTTTTACACCTCATTTCTCAAAATCCTTCGCAGGTGAGTGATGAAAAGGATGCTACTCCTTACTCCACTCCAATTCATGATGAAGACTGACGCAAGGCCATTGAGCTTTAGGATTCCCTCACACAATTGAGAATACTGACGCACGCCTGGGGCTCTCTATCAGCAGACAGCAGACTCTAAAAAAGAATACATCAGTTGAATAGACACCCATATTGTTGTAATATAGAAAATTACAAAAATCTTCATTATCAATTCCTAGGCTACGGGAGAGTACCGGTTTAGAGCGGAGTAAGTGATCGACATTAAAACTGTTAGTAATCATTGGGCGAGTAATTTGATGCTCTACAATATTTATCATATGAATTTGTTCTCATAGAAAACTCATTTCCACGCTGAAAGGCCATTTACAGTAATTTTTCTAAGTTTTTGTCATATTTGGTATTTTTTTTTTTCAATCAATATATAAACGTTAAAGAAATAAAAACATTTTCCACATTGATCACAATATATTTCCCGTTTCGATCCTCGCTGCTGGTATAATATTATTTAAATCAGGCGCCATTTTTTAAAGCAGCGACTATGGAATGGCAAATAAGGTCCATTTTACTTAGAATAACATATACTTTCGTAATTTACATTCAAACCTTTACGTCTGCGATGAAGTCCATTTTTGAGCCCTGGCTCCAGCACTACGGTGCTCCTTACTCTAATTCATGATGACTGAACCGCAAGGCCATGCAGATTTAGGGTTCACTCTCCCAAATGAGACCACGCAAATCCACCTGGAGCTCCCTTTCAGAGCGCACATTTCAAGAAAGGAAGTTAGATTGTCATACCCTTTATAACATTAAATATATTTCTTTGTGTAAATCATTTTTATGATATGTGAACCATCAAAAACCTATTTATGATTCTAGGATGCTGGAATTTTTTTATAACACGATATGCTACGTTTGCATCATAGGCCTATACGTATTTATAGCATTGGTAAAATCTATGAAATGCTGCATATTTCTATGTATACCCGAGAGAAGAAAGGATCGTAGAACATTGTACGACACGAGGGTAAATATTATTCTTTTAATTATTTCTATTTTAGTTAGTTATTAATTAAATTTAATCTAACAACTTTAATTTTATCTGAAAAATTTCTATCAGAGCATCTGCTTGTCTTCTCTTCCTCAGGAAGAAAATCTGAAAGTCTTTATACCTTTCTCAGTTCTTTCCAAGAAAATAAGGGAGTATGGGAGGGTAACGACCTTGATTCTCAGTAATAGCAAATTGGTTCTTGTTTGGATTGTTGGAGGTTATTGAACAATTGCATTTATAATATTGGATAGTAGGCAGTTTCAAAATGGATGATAATCAATACCATGGCGGAATCAGCTCATGCAATCTATTTATTCATTGGTTTTTCATCTGGTGAGACCCATGTTTCTAAATGGATAGTTTTATGTTGAAAGACTCTAATTGTGACTTTTAACTTTTTTGTACCTCTTATCATAGATCCCACTCCATTTCTCGAGCTTTCTCTCTTTCCAATTATAGTATTGACAATTTCTATTGTAAATTTGACATCCTCTTTTTTTAAATTTCTTTATTGAGTATTATAACAATCTGTTTTGGACATTGGTTATAGTGAGGTAGGATGACATTCACACCATATGTACAAAAAAAATAAAATAAATAGAACAAAATAATAATCAAAAGTATATACAATAGACAATAAAATAAAATAACCTAAAAAATAAGAAAATTAAAACTAAGAAAAAAAAAAAAACACATGCATACCTATATACAATCAGGCGAGGGAACTCCAGGAGAACCCTGCGCTACTCTCCCAACCGCGTCACTGGTACTAAAGCCAGCGGAGATTGGTCGAGTGCACTTTAGCCACATACACACATGTCTTGAGTGAAGAATCTGGCCATTGCCAGAACTCCAATTTATACAATTTATACAGTTCTCTCTTTCCAATTATAGTATTGACAATTTCTATTGTAAAGTTGACATCCTATTTTGGGAACTTATCAAAGGTTATTCCTCATCGCCCAATTAAACCTTCTTTTTCTCATCTATCTTATCTTCTGTAGGTATGTATACACTAATTACAGATTTCTTCAAAATCTTTCCTTTCAATCTTAAAAAGCATATTATTTTAATGATTGCCTTATAGGCCA